GTGAGGAGGTAATGAGGTTTTTATAAAGTCATTGGGGGTCGGCATGATGAGGTTAGTGTCCTGATAAGAGACCCTAGAGAGCTTGTTTTCTCTCTCCACTGTGTGAGGACATAGAAAGAAGGTGGCAATCGGCAAGTCAGGAAGAGGACCGTCACCAGAACCAGACCATGCCAACGCCTAGACCTCAGACTTCCAGTCTCCAGAATTGTGAAGAATGACTGTCTTTTGTTTAAGCCCCACAGTCTGTGGCATTTCATCATTCATTCATTCATTCATTCACTCATTCATTTATTTATTTTTACAGCAACCTGAGATGACTGACTAAGAAAGCATTATCTATTTCAAAGCACAAGGACAGCCTCAGGACAGGCCGGCATCAACTGCCTCCCTGTGCCAATGAAATGAAAGATTATAGATAGAATGTTGGGCAAAGCAGATATTTTGGCCAGTTGAGGGGAATAAATGCATCCCAAACATCCCCAAGACGCTGATGAAAAAGCAAATCGTTTGTTTTTCTGTCCTTCTAAAAGCCTGATAGGCCCATTCAATGTGACCTCTGACCCAAGGGGATGGATCGTTAGGGATCACACCTCAGTTGTGTGCAGGACCACTGAGACCTGTGGGGGAGCACAGGGACCCCAAGCCCATGTAGCCTCAGGGATGATCTAACAGTCATGGAGCAGTCCTGCTCTCTGAGTGCCCCACCCCCCACCCAGCATCCAGGAGGGCCCACCCAGCTCCCCACCCTGCTAGGCATGGCTGCAGCAGTGCTAGGTACCTGGAGATCCTGAAAAGCCTTTGGTGCCTGGCAAGCCATGTAATCCACCGATGCCTCGGATGCCTGGAAAACCTGTGCGAGTTTCACTCATGGTTATTTCATGCATTGGAAGCAAAGAGAGAAGCTCTTAAAATCATTCAGACATGTTTTCGTTTGCTAAAACCCCGGCAAACAGGAAGCAGCAGTTCAGCAATATAGTCTGACAGGTAAATTCATCATTTCTATGTCACCTAAGAGAACCATCATACTTAAAGATTGATTTCATAGTCTCTTTAGGGACTCATTAGAGCCAGAAGAGAACTGGGAAGCAGTGTGTTTCCTTTCTTTTCCTGGCACTTGAGTCACTGTACATACTTGGTTTGTAAAAATTGCCTGGAACCAATAGTCTGGCATTAGTTCCATTCTCAATGGATTCTTGAGGAGGAACATTTTTAAAATAGGACGTGGGACATAGGCAGCAATTTTTCCTGCGACGTGGTCGGTGAGTGCGGAGGCAGATGGGTCACCCTTAATTCTGAGCAACAGAGCAGCTGAGGGCTTGTCTCTGACCAGGGGCCGATCTGGCCACTGAGGGCTTGTCAGGGCACCCAGGCCCTGTCCCTGAGCAGTGGCCTGCCCAGATCAGGCCGCAGAACCCTGCAAATCCTGCCAAAGGCTCCACCAGACCTCACTCAGTGAGAAGCCGGGAAGCCTGTGGCGGAACAACTTAGCGTCTGTCCCTTTGGTCTCTCCTCCGCACTGCCTGTGTGCTGGCTTAGCAGTCAAGGCCTCTCAGGTGGTTTTCACTCATCGTTGTGAGGAGTGAAGCACTTCTTTGCAGACTGGCACGTCTGTTTCCTGATGGGCTTGGACGACTGCAAACCCTGTTCTAGGTGAATTTTGTGTGGATAGTAAGCCATATACACCTCTGCCTTTTATCTCACACAGTCTTACAGAAAACAGTTTAGAGAGAGGCCAACCTAGCTAATGGTGCCCCTCCTCAACTGGCAGGTCTGCCTTTGAACCATCGTGTGCTTATGTCTATGAAGAGAGGAATGGTCTTACCTGGTAAGCCTGGGACCCCTGGCCGGCCGTAGTCTCCTTTGTCACCAGGTACTCCGACCCGGCCTGGCTCTCCCTGCGGCCCCTGCAGGCCTGTCAGTCCTGGAAAGCCTGGGGTAGGGTAAATGGATCCTTAAGTCAGACACAGGAACCCCGAAGACCTCAGGAGAGGCCTCCCCACCCGACCTCCAGCTCAGGTCCTGCGTGGATGGGGCGGGAGCTCTTTTTGGGAAAGGACCTGCTTCTATTCAAGCCAGGAATGCATGTGGTTTGGGAATCCACATTCAAGTTTAAGGGCATTAGTTCAGCCTCGCCAAAGAGAGAACAGCTTGTGTTTTCTTATTCTCTTCCTATCATCCAAATAGAAGTCTGAGAAGAACCCACAAAACAAGCCCCTGAGGATTAGACTGTCAGAGTCACAGTTCCTGGGCAAAAGCAAATTCAGCAATAACCAAAAAGCATGAAACTAGTTCACCATTTGCTTTCTATCATTAATTTGGGATCCTCAAAGGAATTTCTGCATGTGCAAATTCATGAAAGAGATCCCTTAAAAAGAACTTAGTCTGTGCTTATGGAGAGACAGATGCTGGGCCACACAAACCCTTTCATCGTTTCCCTGTGTGTCTCCCATAGCTGAGTTGGTTGTTTCCATGTTTCTGGTCCTAAGGCAGAGCTAGGTGAATGGGCAACATGTAAGAGCAAGCTTCCTAGGGTAGAGTGTGATCGTAGCAGAAAAAGAGACAGGTGAAATTGGCTGCCTTTGTTCTGGGGTCTTGGCGATTTAGAGGTTCGGCTGTGCTCAGCCCCACTGGCCACTGCACCATCGAGCCATGCCCGAGGAGGCAGAATGCTGGAGGAAGACTGTGTGACTGCAAGAGATTTTACCTGTTTGTCCTTTAAATCCGGGAGGACCTTGGACTCCTGTTATGCCTGTTATTCCTGGGAAGCCGATGTCACCCGCTGTTCCTTTCTCTCCAAAGAATCCCTTTAGACCTGTAACCACAGATGTGCTGCTTAAAACAAACTACAGACATTGCATCAAACTGGAGCTTAATGCTTGTAGGGTCCAATGGAACGCCAGCTAAAGGGTGCTGCCATACCACACGGGTGCTTCTGTCATGAACAGGGACCTAAACATGTTCCTTCCTCAACCAAGTTTTTACCCAATTCTTCCCTCTGAACTTATGGCTGACAGCCTCCAAGCTGACGCCCAATGGTCTCCACGTTCTGTAATTCACACCCTTGTGCAGTCCCCTCCAGCACCAAATTGGGTTGAACTGTGTGACCACCAGGATACTGGAGAAATAATGAATGGTGTGTCACTTCAAGTCTAGGTCATAAAATTCATCATTGCTTTCACTTTGTTGCCTTTCTTGGATCGCTTGCTCTGGAGGAACCCAGCTGCCATGCCGTGAGGACACTCAAGCCGCCCTGAGAGAGAGCCGAGTGCCGAGGAACTGAGGCCTCCTACCAAGAGCTGTGTGAGAAAACCATCATGGAAGCAGATCCTCCAACCCCCGTTCAGGCTTCGGATGATGCAGCGCTGCTGACGTCATGACTGGAATCTCATGGAGGCCCCAAGTCAGAGCCACCCTGCTCCCGAGTTCCCGACCTTCAGAAAAGGTATGAGATAATACCTGCCTGTTGATGTTCTAAGCTGTTGCATTTTGGGTACCTTGTTAAGCATCAGTAGATAACTAATCAGAGCTCTTATCACAGTGGGTTTTAATGTGCAATATGCCAGGGAAATCTGGGGAATTTGTTAAACACGCAGATGTTTGAGCTTTTCTCAGAGGTGACTTAGTAAGTCTGGGGTAAGGCCTGGAATCTGCATTTTAACAGGCACTGCAGGTGATTCTGATGTGGTCATTGGGTAGATATAGAGAAATGCTGCCTTCACGTTAGTGATAACATTCTCTGTCAAATGTTTTGGTGATTTCTGGTATGCTGGAAGATTTTGAAACTTAAGACCAACTTGAATTCCACACAATCACTTTTGTCCAGTGTCTTCTTAAATCTATGAGGCTACTGCTTAGATGAACTGTTAAAGTTTTTGTGGTCTTGAAGGAAAACCACCTAAGAAATTCTGCTTATTTTCTATTGATTCTTTTACGATGTATTAATCTGCTCAAACCCCTATTTACCCAATGAATCTTCTTTCATAAACCACTGTCATCATCTCCACCCACCCAAACTGAGGGAGTCCAGTGCAGCTTGTCGCTTCATCCTCTGAGTGACAAGGGCTGAGCCTCGGCTCCCCAATGCCCCTCAATGTCCAGGAGCTAATCTGACTCGGGCCTCCATGCCCACTCCCTCTGCCACATGGGACCAGCTCTGTAGCTGACCCAACTTAGGCACACCTCACTTGTCTTAGGGAAAATGGAACAATCCCAAGGAAGGTTGATACAACTGTCACCACCCCACTGCCCGTGGGATACAGTCCCCTGGTGATAGATAAACTGGGAGACTCAATTTTCTGGGCCCACAGGTTAACTAAAACCTAAGCATTCAAGGGTAACAATCACAATTCTGGGGAGAAAGTAACTTCTCCTCCCTGACACATTTTCCGTTGTGCAATTGAGGTCATCATTAGTGACATGTGGCAAAGATGGTTTCACATTTCTGCTTTTATAAGCTAAACTGCCAAAGTAATTACTTAGAATGGGAGATTCAGCTAGCCAAGAGCCAGAAGGCTCGGCAGCCCAGGGTACCCCTGTGACAAGAAAAACCATTGGGAGACCCAAACATAGATGCACGTGAGCCCAGAGAGGTCAGCGAATGAGGCTGCTTATTCTTGAGTGACAGTCCTCTGACCCCATGCTAGACTGAATATCTCTCTCCATTCTGGAACTCTGTAGATGAAGAACCGGATTGGCCTCCTCCCCAGTGGCCAATCACATGGACAAACTCTTCCCACCTCCTGCCCTCTACCACTAGGACCATCCCTAGAAGGACTTGGGGCTCTAGGCAGCTTAAGCAGTGTGTAATGCCCCAAGATAAACCCTCAGAAGAAGGCATCAGCCTATCGTGAGTCCCTTGGGGATATGATTACAGGTAGGAATTTTGATCTTGATTTTCAGGAATACTCAGAGAAGTGTGCTCCTGTGCCACACGAGGCTTCCCCCTGCGTCCCTTCCTCCCACCCACCCGCCGCCACCACCCCCAGTCTTCCAGTGCACATAGGGCCAGAGGGCTGCTTCTTCTTGTCTTACTCAAGAGATGGGCCCAACTCCCACTGACCTTTCTTCTAGGCCCTTCACTGTTTATAAGAAGCTCCAGTCATCATATCATTTGCTCCATGAGCTGTAATATGTCTCCAGAGCCCAGGCTCTGTTTTTCCATGAGTTACATTTTATGGGCCACATAAAATGTTGATTTTACGAGTGTTATTTTGGCTATTTTCCCTTTCAGAGAGAGTAAGAGAAGTTTCTTGACTTTGTCTTTGGATTTAATTTAATTAAAAATTCCAGAGTCTTTCTTGCACAGTGGCTTTGAAGACCTCAAACCATTCCCTATGACATGATCCATAGTGCTTACCAAATAGTGATATAGTTGGCCAGCCAGCTCATGAGCGATGACACAGACAAGGGGTCAAGGCTGTTGCTAAGAGGAAGAGATGGAAAATGACAGGTACCTGGTATTCCAATGACACCCTGTTCCCCCTTCAGGCCCGGAGTTCCTGGTAAATCTATAGTCTCTCCAATATCACCTGTTACAGGCAAAAAAGATGAGTGAGAACAGGTCTTCCTATTGAGAAGTGGTTAGTTTTGCAACTTCTGTTGTGTTACATTCTTAATAAGAATAATTTCTTTCAAAAAAAAAAAAAGAAAACCTAATAGCATCTGCGGATCTGCTGCACACTTGTCCAGAATGCTCTGGGTTGTGGGCATTCACTTTTCACTGTCTGAGCAACACTTACCAAAATCACCTGTGGGGCCAATCTCGCCATAAAGACCTGCTGTCCCTGGAGCACCCTTGTCACCCTAGAGCAAAGTCAAACATGAAACCATCTTAGAAGGCTGTTCACGCAATAGTTTGTAATTTCGAAGTTTAGTATAAGTGTATCTAACTATCTGGTATCCAAAAAACAATACTCAAAGTTTGTGATGTCATAATTTTGTAGAAAACTTCTAAAGTTTTTTTCGGCACAGAATAGTAGGTGGTTTGCTTACTTCTTAGTAAACTATAAAGTAGTAAAAATGAAACAAGTTTGGCAGCTTTATGGAAATTAATAACATCATTGATACAGATCATATTTGACAGTGGTGAGAATAACCATGGCTGATTGCATCTCTACCCTCTGCCACACTTTCCATGGGCAAATATATTGGGTCCCATCTCAAGAACTTCATTTAAGCCTCACAACAGCCATATGAAGTAGGTACTATTATTTCCCTTTGACAGATGAGGAAATTGAGGCACAGAGAGGGTAAATATTTTGCTCAAGGTCACCCAGCTGACAGAATTGAGATATCGATTTAGGCTGCCAGATTCCTAAACTTATTCTCTGCACTACAGGGTTCTGTACTTCCATCTGCGGAGAGAATGAGACTTCTTCAGAACGATGTTGGTTGCTGATAATGAGATTGGATTGATGTCTGGGCTGCCCCGTGACTCCCAAAAAGCCATGGTTTTTTCTCTCTGACGTGGCTCTTCCTCACAGGGAGGCTGGGAGTTCTGGTCTACCTTGCTCCCTCTGGTCTCCACTTTAGCATCAACCTTTAGCATCAGAACTGCCGTTTCCTAGCATGGCTTAATTGTGCCTCTGAGTTCTTAACGAAGCTCCCTTTTGTAGAAGGGGTGGGGTGGATGTGCCCAAGGCTAAACCTTTGTTTTGATAATGATCTATTTTTCCTCCTTAAAGCTTGCTTTACTTTATTGAGGCATAACTTAACATATAGTGCAGTTCACTCATCTTAGATGTTCAATGAGTTTTTATTCATGTGCCACCTAGATAAAGACGAAACATTCAGCATTCTAGAAAGTTCCTTTGTGTCCTTTCCTAATCAATAATCCTGCCCAAGGTAGCCTCTCTTCTGACTTGCCTCTATCAAATAGTCTTGTCACAAAGATGGAATCATATATGTACTTCCTGTTTCTGGTTTATTTCATTTAACATAAAGTCTGTGAGATTCATTCATGTTGTTGCGTTTATCAATAATTCTCTTTTTACTCCTGTGCACTAGTCCACTGTCTGAACATACCATGCTTATTTATTCTTTCTCCTGTTGATGGGCATTTGAGCTTTCCCCCCGTTCTTGGCTCTCATGAATAAAGCTGCTGAGAACATTGCCATATGTGTCCTTTGGCAGACATATGCAACTTTCTTTTAAGTGACCTGACTAGCAGCACCCACGACTGGTTATCAGATCTTTACAGCTATAGATTTTGAGAGTGATGGAAGGAAGACACTTGAAAAATTTGAGGACTTCATGTACACCAGGGTGGGCTAGACAGAAGGCCAAGGCCTGTTGCTAAAGGTTCACTACAAGGTGGCCAGAACTTCTGATCTGCCCCAAGCGTGCCGACCCTACTGTGAATGCCAGAAATGAGTCCGCTGCGTGCTGAGGACAGTGCGTGTATAATACCTACACATGAAAGAGGATAAAAAGAGAATTCCATGAAATATGATCTTTGGAGAGCCATGTTGCATATGCTGTCTACACTGCCCTCAACAGAACAGTAAGGTGGTTACTACCTGCATTTTACAGACAAGGATACAGGTGCACCCTTCCCCAGGTCAGGGTGCTCCATCGTTGCCATGACAACAGTGCCCAGCCCATAGCAAGTGCTCAAATGACATGTGTTGAGCAAAGAAATGAGTAAATGGCAGGCCAGGATGTTCTCCACGCTATGATTCAGTAACGGATTTTCAGTACTGAGTTCAGAGCTTGGATCTCTATAAATTCCAGTTTTGTTCTCTTAAGGCTTCCATGAAAAAATGCAGACACCACGCTTCATTTACAGAAGCCTATGAAAGGGCAGCAGCAGCATGGAAGACACTCCAATCACCGCCGGTGTTGGTGCAAGCACAGGGTTTGCTTAAGCTCACAAGG